TAATAATAAAGCTATGTACTTAAGTTCATAAACACTAAAATATATTGTCTTCTTAGTAAATTTACTCTTCATAAATGCTTCTTCTAAATGCACTTATTTCTTTGTTTTTTTTTTTAATTATTTTTTTTCAATCACCAGCCATCCCCTCTGCACTCTCCTCCACCTCCACCCACGCCCACCCCTGCAACCATCACACTGCTGTCCATGCCCATGAGTTCTCTCTCAAGTGTGGTTTTTGAGGTTAATATACACAGTAGGTTTTCCTTTGGGTTAATGTTGGCAAGTGCCTATCATTTCTCCATTTCTTTGCATTTAATGTGTCTGTAGACACATATACTTGGACTTGCTTACCATTATCAGTTACCTATATCTTTTAACTGATGTATTTATGCTATTAATATTTATTGCAATTATTTCCTATAGCAGGATTATAATAAACTTTCTTATTGGTTTTCTTTTTCTTTCTTTTTCATTTTTCCCTTTCATAGCACAATACTACACCACTTCAAGTGTAATGTAAGAATTTTTCAATCATATATTTCCAATACTAGCCTCTCAACCTGTGTTTTATTGTCTATTTTTACTTTGTCAAAAAATATATAGAACATTACTATCATTTAAAAAATTGATCAACTATATTTTAGAACAATTTAAATTAAGAAAAATAAATTTTATTTTTATTTCTCTATCATTTTCAGTATTCTTCATCTCCTTATAGATCCTACTTTATTTTTGTTACCGTATGCTTTCTGCCTGAAGACTTCCTTTAAAATGTCCTTTAGAGTAATTTTGATCATTATAAATCCTTCCAGATTACATATGTCTAAAAACTTTATTTTTTTATTTTTAAATTTTGAGATAAGGGTAACTATATTTGTACTTATAACATTGATAAAGGTTACAAAGTGTGGAACTCTCTTATGGGCCGTGTAAGGATGACAAGTATGCTTTTAAGAGGATTCTCCTGATCGATTTTTTTACCATACTTTAATTTTCAGTACAATTTAGTTTCACAGAAAATTGTGAGCAAAGCGAGATATCCCATTTATTCCCTACCCACACATGTATGGCTTTCATTATAAGTATTCCCACTAGAGTTGTACATGTTTTTTTATATTATTAATAAGGCTATATTGGCACATCATTGTCATCCAAGACTATAGTATACACTATTCCTTTAATTTAAAACATACTATTGCTGTTGTAGAATTCTTCTTTTGTAGTATTGTTCTTGTTTTTGTTTGTTTTCTTCATCTCTTTGAAGATTCCCTCCCTTGTGTTCTTGTTTGTAATTTGTTACAAGAAGTTAGCTAGAATTCTAATTGTTAGAATAGGCAGCTAAAAAGATATGAGCTAGAAAAGGCAGTGGGGGCTTGGAGGAGATACATATGAGACATGAAAAACAGACAGTGGAGGCAACAGACCCTAGGATGTTGTCTAACCAGTGGCATACCACCTGGGTGAAGGAGCCTTATAGCTTAAAGATATATAAACATTTTTTTTTTTATCCTCACCTGAGGACACCCTTCCATTTTTTGTTCACACAGAGCAGGAGAGAGAGAAAGAGAGGGAGAAACACTGAAGTGAAAGGGACACATCCTGTGACTGCCTCCCACACGATCTAACCAGGGCCAGGGACCAACTGCAACCAAGGTATGTGCCCTTAGCAGAAACCAAACCCAGGTCTCTCTGGATCGCAGGCTGATGCTCTAACCACTGAGCCAAACCAGCCAGGGCAAGATATATTTTTTGAGACATGAGGGAGGGGGTGACTGGCTCCTTGTTTAGGGGGTATGCTGGCTTAGATGTATAAACCCTCTGAACTACCAAATTTTGGGGAAATTGATTTGGTTTCGAACAGCTGAGTTGTCCACTCAGATTCTATCTCAGTGTATATCTTTTCTACAAATAAAACCCGTCCTACTTCAGCTGCTATTTGCTGTCTCTTGTGTGAATTCATTCCTACAAGCGAGACAAGAACAGGAGCGCAGAGTACTGTCTCTGAACAGAGACCACCTTGCCTACTGCTCATGTAATATGTATTCCTCTATATAACGTGCCTTTTGTCTCTGGTTTCTTTTAATATTTTTCTCTATAATTAGTTATTAGATATTTTGATATTATGTGTTTAACTGGTTTTGTTTGTTAGTGTTTGTTTTTTCTGATTTTTTTTTTTTTTTTTTTTGTACAAATAAAGGATTTATCATACTTGTTCTCTGAGCTTCTTGGATATGTAGTTTGATGTCTGCTACCATTTTTGAAAAATTCTTTACCATTATTACTTATAATTTTTCTTAAAATGTGACACTTTTATTCTTACTTTGGGGTTCCAATTACACATGTATCAGACAGTTTGCTATTATCTTATAACTCTCTCAAAAGTCCAGAAATAGCCAAAGTAAAACCAATTAATTATTGACGTAGTAATTTCCAGAGGCATAGCAAGAAATGATCCTTCCCAGTTAGTCTTACATAAGTTATATTAAGCTTTGCCTGTATTACTAAACTGGTTTGGTCTTCTCAGGTCATTTTCAAGGTTGGTCTTTTGTTTTGTTTTTTTTAATTTTAACATCTCGTAGCTATTGCTCCGTGTGTTCACTGTTTAATCACTTTGCAACTATGCTTTGGTATTTTGACATATATCAAGTTCACAATTCTTTCCTCAGATGTGTTGAATTTACTTAAAATTTCCTCTAAGATATTTTTCATCTTTTGGTTATTTATTTGTTTTTCTTTGACTCATATTTTTCATATCTCTACTGAAATCCCCAACTGATTGTGCATATTGTCTAGTTTTCAAAATAAAGCTGTTCATCATAGTTACTTTCATTCCCTAATAGCTACAGCATCTGTGTCATCTCCAATTCTAGTGCTTTTGGTTATTTAGTACCTTTGCAATGCGTTTGTGTGTGTGTGTGTGTGCGTGTGTGTGTGTGTGTGTTCATGCTTTCTGTCTCCTCGTTGTTTGATTTTGCAAAACTGTGTAAGAAAGTAAATACTCTGGTAAATAATTTACCTGTTCCTCTGTGCTAGAACTTTAGTCTTTGTGTGAGGGGATTAAGAGGAACATTGGATTGGGTGTTTGGCATATAATTATTTTCTCTGCAATTATCCTTGGTTTCAAATTTCTCTAATGTTACTTTGGCTTAATATGGGATTTGAATTTTTGGAGAAATTTTCTGAATGTTTCTGTTCCACTCTGAACTTTAGACTTCTCTAGTGTGCCCAAATCTCACAGAAGTTCTCTCTCTGCCTCTCTGCTTCTCCTCCAGTGGTAGAATGCTTCACATGTTACTCAATTCTACAGGCTCTTTGTGTGCTCCCAGAATTCGTATGTTGAAGCTCTAATTCCCAGTAACTCAAAATATGATTATGTTTGGAGAGATAACCTTTCAATTTGTGACTGGTGACCTTATAAAAAAAAGAAAATTTTAATCATAAAGGGATGTGTGCATACAGAGAAAAGGCCATGTGAGTGCACATCAGGAGGATATCTATTGCACGGCAAGTGTGGCTCAGTGGTTGCGCATCTACCCATGCATCAAGAGGTCACCAGTTTGATTCCCAGTCAGGGCACATGCCCAGGTTGTGGGCCAAATCCCCAGTGGGGACCATGCAGGAGGCGGCCAAGCAATGTTCCCTCTCATCGATGTTTCTATCTATTTCTCCCTCTCTCCCTAAAATCAATAAAAAACAATTTTAAAAAAGACGTCTAGCCCTGGCCAGTTTGGCTCAGCGGTTAGAGCGTCGTCCTGCGGTCCGGAGAGACCCGGGTTTGGTTCCCGCTAAGGGCACGTACTTCGGTTGCAGTTTGTCCCCGGCCCTGGTTGGTCGTGCGGGTGGCAGCCACTCGATGTGTCCTTTCACATCGATGTTTCTCTCTCTCTCCCTTCCTCTCTCTCCCTCCCACTCTATCTGTACAAAATGGAAAAATATCCTCTGGTGAAGATAAAAAAAATAAAATAAAATAAAAAAGACGTCTATTTGCAAGCCAAAGAGAGAGCTATTCACACCTTCATCTCGATCTTGGACTTCTGGTTTCCAGAACTGTAACAACATTTTGTTGGTTAAGCCGCCAGTCTGTGGTATTTTGTCATGGTGGCCCTAGGAAAGTCATGTAATCAAGCTCTCTATGTGTGTTGGGGAAATAGGGATGCTTTGCCTCTTGTACTGATATAAACATTGCCTGTGTTTCTAGACCTTAAGTGTTTTATTTGTTGTTGTTGTTATCTTGCTCCTCTCACAACAATAGCTGTCTAATTGTGTGGGCCCAGTAGACTTTCCTGTCTTTTCCCAGCTGTAGTATTTTTGTTTGATTTGTTTGTTTGCCCCTGTTTCTGCCTTCAAATTATAATGAGTCTTCAGTTAAGTCACTGGGATCTGTGTTTGCTACCTTTTATCAAGGGATTCAGTGTTGTTGTTTTCCTTAGGGTATCTTCTTTTTAAGAGTTTAAGGGCCTATTGTGTAAAAAAGCATAAATAAAATAGTAGATAAATTCAGTGTGACAGGTTGCCTTCTAGAAAAATGTAAAGCAGAGAAGGAAAACAGAACCATGTGAAAGTTATTATACCTAGGAGGATTAGGGACATTTTCATCAGAGTAGTAGCAGGAGAACTAAGATTTACATCAACTATTTAACTTCTCTGAGAAAGTTATTATATAAAGTGATGTGTTTAACATATAAATAGGCCCAGCAATCGATGGCCCTTCTTGAGATCAGCGAGATGAAGAAGATTTATATCAGCTTCATAGAAAAAAAAAATATTTAAAAAAGAGCTGGCTCTATTAAGTGCCTGAAATGAAATTTAAAGTAGAAATTGTCAGAGGCAAACATTTGTTTCTACTAAATGAAAATCAAGGGAAATTTAGCACCCATGCTAAGGAAAACTGGTTAGCGTGCAATAGATTCGTATTGTGACATCAGAACAGCAGTGCCTATGAGCATTTCTGGAATCCAAGTTCTTCTCACAGAGGGAGGGACAGAGCAGGCAGTGGAACCATGGAGTCACCCTCAGCCCCTGCTCACAGACAACTTGTCCCCTGGAAAGAGTTCCTGCTGGCCGGCTCACTCTTAATTTTCTGGAGCCTGCCTATGAGTCAACAACTCCATGTCATGAACCTCGATGCTCCTGAAGGGAAGGACGCACTTCTCAATGCCCAAGATCTACCTCCTGACACTGTAAGCCTTAAATGGTACAAAGGGAACAGTGCAGACAATGATAACCATCTCATTGGATCATGTACATCAAGTACTAAAATATGTGTCTCTGGACCTGCAAACAACAGTCGACAGATAATGAGCGCCAATGGCTCCCTATTGTTCCAGAAGGTCACCTTGGAGGATACGGGATCCTATACACTACAAGTCACAAAAGTAAATACTCAGACTGAAAAAACAACTGCACGGCTCCGAGTATTCCCGGAGTTACCCACACCCACCCTCACAACAGCCAACATCAACCCCCAGGAGAACAAGGACCCGATAGTGTTCTACTGTGAACCTTTTACTGTGAACACCACTTACCGGTGGTTGGTCAACAATCGCACTCACGCAAAGAGCTCCAACCTCCGGAATGTTTTCACTATAAAACTAGCCTCAAGGAAAGACACTGGAGCCTATCAGTGTGAAACCCGGAACCCAGTGAGTGTCCGCCTCAGTAATACAATCAATCTAAGTGTTGTATATGGCCCAGAAACACCCATCATCACCCCCAAAGACTTCCAGTACTATCCAGGGGTAAACCTTAACCTCTCCTGCAATGCAGTCTGTAACCCACCCGCAGAGTATACCTGGATTTTCCATGGGGCAACCGTGAAACACACACCGGAGCTCTTTATCCCCCGCATCACTGAAAAGCATAGTGGAGTTTACACCTGCCTTGCCCTTAACCCTGTCACTGGCCTCAATAAGACCGCAGTCCAGAATATTGCGATAACTGTCCTTACAGATAAGACTATTGTGGGCATCGTGATTGGAGTCCTGTTAAGCCTAGCTGTGATAGCAGCCATGGTGTGCGCTCTGTTTCTCAGAAACTAGAAGGTATGATGGCCTTTGATCTTGTCCCGCTTCCTCCTAGGCTAACCGCCATGCTTGGGAGAGGGCAGGAGACTTCCTCTCAGTCTCTGGGCCTGGCTCTGCTCCTCCTCCTTCCTAAACCCCTGTTTCTGAGCTCTGATTCCTGTGGCTTCGCCTTCCCTGGTCTTCAAGCTTCCTGTACCCCGCTCTCTCTGAGACATAATTACTCCCATCCCCAACTGGTTTAGTGGGGGCAGCACTGATTATGTTCCTGGGTCCCCCAGTCAGGGAAGCCAAGGCCCAGGAAGGAAAAGTAATGAGGAAATGCCAACAGAAGCAGGAGAAAGGAGTCACTGTGCTCTGACAACCACAGGAGAGGAGAAGAGAGGGCAGGGCAGGAAGAGAATCTAACTTTTAACTTTAGTGGAAGAATTTGTAGATTAATACAAACATTTTCAATTCGTTTGTTTTTTAGGTTAATTGGAAGATTGCACAATTAATTTTTAACGTTGGTCTGATTTAGATAATTGTTTCTTTCTTCTATTTGAACTGTTTGTTGACAGGATGCTTAACCTAATTTACCTAATCCAAATTCACCTCCTTCCTTCATTGAAAATGTTAATATTCTTCTTCCCCTCTCCATTGAAGCAGGAACTTAGGCAATGTCCACTTTAACATCATCAAGTATAAGTAATGTTTCAGTTGCTCCAAAGTGAGAACCAGTATTTTCCTTAGATATTTGCTGCTTGCTCCTGGCTTTTGACTGGATCATCTCTGCCATGTTCCCAACAACTACTTCACTTAGGTGTTAAGATGTAGCTTTACTAAGAAATCAACAATGCTTTTTTAAAGTTCAAGCATGGTGTAAATTCAGCTATTTTTTTACTCATACTATTTCCCAAGTTCTTTTTTTGGTACGTGCCCCTAGCGGGAACCGAACCTGGGACTCTCTGGTCCGCAGGCCAGCGCTCCAACCACTGAGCCAAATGGCCAGGGCCCATTTCCCAAGTTCTAAGTGCTTAAGTTGTCAGAAAAACAAAAGAAATTGCAAAGGAAAATTTTGAAATATCTATCTCAAGAGATATTTAACAGAATTACAACTATCTCTGGTATAGGTATATTCATGCTTGGAAATATAGCTATTCATTTTCACTCTTTTTTTTTTTTTCTCACCTGAGGACACTCTTTTCCATTTTTTGTTCAGATAGAGTGGGAGGGAGAGCGAGGAAGAGAAAGAAAGAGAAAAACATCAATGTGAAGGGAACACATCGAGTGGTTGCTACCCGCACAACCCAACCAGGGTTGGGGACAACCTGCAATCAAGGTACGTGCCCTTAGCGGGAACTCAACCCGGGTCTCTTTGGGCCCAGTTGAAGCTCTAACCGCTGAGCCAAACTGACAAATATATATATTTGTCAAGAATATTTTTAAAATAATGATCATTTAAGAGGGAGATATTTATAGACAATATTTAAACATAAAAATAGTGAAAACCTTATGAAGTGATAGCATATTTGTTATTTGTTTGATTAATCCTAAGATGGTACTGGTAAAGTCAAATGTCTTTTAGAATTTAGAGACCATTCAGATGTAAGCATGTCATAACCATTTAAATAATTTCGACTCTATTTAATTTTTAAGGAAATGATCCTCCAGTGAATTGACCTTGGATTGTATTCAGATTTCTTACAAGAAAAGTCTGAAAGCAGTTTCGAGATACATTGTAAGGTATTACTCAGAGTGCACTGTGAGGTCCACTTCTGAACTTCACCTCTCTAAAGGCCACAATAAATGATGAAGGAGACCCTGCATGTGTGAGGGTATGTGTATATTGGATCTATCTAATCCTTTCTGTGAATATTGCTTTTAACTTAACACTGTTCTAAAAAATAAAGTCTTTAAATTAAAAACAACAATTGCAGTTAAAAATTAAAAATATATAGTTACTATAAAGATAACAGACTTTTTCTCATTGGACTAGACAGGAACTGGAATAGGAAGTTTGAACCCAGGCCGTTATGTATATAGTGTTGGGCCCACTGTGCTCTGGGTCTAAATATGGACAAATGGATGGGAATTTAACTCTTGAAATACTAATAATATCTGACAAAGAACAAAATACATGATATTATGCAATAAATTAAATGTTGTCCCCATTAAAATGATAACAAATCATTTGCAAACATACAAAATGACAGGGAAAAATAAACATCTTTGGCTAGCATTACCAGATAGTAAATTTACTCTGAATCTATTATACTTAAAATCCTTGAATTGTGGAGAAGAGATAATAATATAAATTAAATGTATAAAATTCTAAAACTAGGCATGCATGCAAGACTTCATTTTATGATTAAGATAGTGAGTGGGTAAAAGAGAGTTTATATAGTGCAGTTTATGGTGTTGAGAGAAATTGGGCAACTTACTAGCACCATTCCCACAATGCACAGGGTGGACAAAAGGTTAACAGATGTTCTTATTGAAAACAATACAATAGCCCTGGCCTGTTTGGCTCAGAGGTTAGAGCGTCCGCCTGCAGTCCTGAGAGACCCGGGTTCGGTTCCCGCTAAGGGCACGTACCTCGTTTGCAGTTTGTCCCTGGCCCTGGTCGGTTGTGCGGGTGGCAACCACTCGATGTGTCCCTTCACATCGATGTTTCTCTCTCTCTCTCTCTGTTCCTCTCTCTCCCTCCCACTCTACCTGAACAAAAAATGGAAAAATGTCCTCAGGTGAGGATAAAAAAAAAAAAAAAGAAAACAATACAATAATTAACAAATAATACTACAAGAATAAACTCTGTTTTTCACATGCTCACAACTCTAAACCCACTTTGGCCACCCCTGTGTAAATATGTCTCTTAACTTATATTTATACCAAAATAAAATCTATATGAATTAAATATTTGAGCAAAAAAGCCATAAAATTTCATGCAGAATGAATACATGTTTAGAGAACAAAAAACAATTCTAAGCTATACTATAATCCAGAAGGCATAAAAAAATTCTTGGTAAATTTGACTACAAATTTAACATTTTGAAAGGGAATAAATAACAAACTATAAATTAAAAAGAAAACTGCAATATTGAGTAAAAATATCTGCAATACATATGACAGAAAAATATTTGATTCCTTTAATATACATGTAAAATATTTAAATCAAATAATGATACAAAAAGATATATTACACATTACAAAATGGACATAGGATTTGAAAATGCAATGTATAAACAATGACTCATCAATCATATTGCAAAACATATATGTTATATATATTTTTAAATATGTAGTTCTGAGTACCCAGCGTAAAAAATAGAAGAGAAATATGTTTAAATCTGTTATTTTTTGTTTCTTGTATCTGTATTTATACCTTTTTTATATTGAGTTTAAAATAATTTTCAAGTTACTTACTAGAACTAATGAGAATTTAGTAAGATTAGAAAGATACACAGTAAGTATATATATATATATATATACACACACACATACACACACACACATACGCACTATTAATGAACATGCAGAAAATAATATAAAAAAACAATGTTTTATAGACCAAGGTATTAATGTTTTGCATAATAATTAGTATAATGCATCCAAAGATATACTTTACATTATTACTATTATATTATTAGTATAAGAAATTAGAATAGGTATAGTATATAGTTTACTATTTAATTTTAATTAAATATGTGGTAAGCTTTCTAGGCTGAAATTACATATATATGTCCATATATTCTAAATTTTAAAAGATCTATATAAATAAAAAAATTTTTATAACTTAACAATAACATGACAAAGAAGATGAAAAAACAGGCAATATGTTTAAACCAGCATTCCAATTATAAAAAATAAGTACAGCCTTGGCCAGCTTGGCTCAGGGGTGAGCATTGGCCGATGAACCAAGAGTCATGATTTCTTCTATTCCCAGTCTAGGGCACATACCTGAGTTGCAGGTTCGATCCCTGGCCCTGGTGGGGGTCTGGCGGGAGGCAACCAATCGATGTCTATATCACATGGATGTTTCTCTCTCTCCCTCCTTCCTTCCTTTCCACTCTCTCTAAAAATCAATGGGAAAAAAATTCCAGATGAGGATTAACAACAACAAGAAGAAGTACATGTGACAAAGGTATGAAAACATCTGTCAATAAGGAATTAAAATATGTACCACATTACAGCACGTTTGATATCTATTCAAGTGTCTCAAACTAAAATCATAGACAATGCACACACTGGAACCCTTTATCAACATCACATCTTATAATAGAGTTGATCAACTTGGCCAGCTGTGTATGTCACCTTTGAAGTTCCACCTAAAATTCGCACCACGGATTGGTTCACATTGAGAGGGGTTTGTCGCAATCAGAAATCCATCATAAATATTAATATCTAATGTATCAGTTGAACAATTCATACACTTTAATCACCTGTTTCTGTTGTATGTATTCATCAATTTATTGAATAAATATCTGTCGAAACCACTATCTTCCAGGCAATGTTCCAGAACTAAGGGTATATCAGTGAATGCAACAGACAGAATTACCCTGATTATATGTGGTTTGCCACTGAGTCGGGTGGGAACGATAATTAAAAAGGAGCAAAGGAAATGAAAGGGTATACCTTATAGTAGTAAGTGCTTGAGGAAAAATATGAAATGCTCAAAAAGAGTGGCAGAATGTTGCAATCCTGAGTAGGGGTTTACGAAAGCCTCACTGTAAAGACAGCATTTGAAGGAGACTCAGAATGACAGGAGCTGATCAATGCAGAGATCTGACATTCCAGGCAGACTCCCTGCCACTGAAAAACGTCAATGACAAAGACGGTTAACATGTAATAAAATTTGTAATTGCTTAATGTGGTAAGATAGAAATCGAATAGTTGATTTTAGTCACATTAATGCAATGCACTGTGTGGGGTGTATTCATATTGCAGATGGGGGATAGTCTTCAACTGTCATCTCACCCAACAAGTTTAGACTTAATGACCTCAGTAGATTTGCCTTCTTTCATTTTAACATGGTAATCATGATAATGATTATTAATATGAATTTTTTCTGAGGACCTTGGTGTACTTTCTGTATGTCAGAGAGACTGGAGGGTATGATGTCCTTTGCTCTTGTCCTGCTTCCTCCAAGGATGACCACCATGCTTGGGAGAGGGAAGGAGACATCCCTTTAGTCTCTGGTCCTGGACTGCTCCCCATCCGTCCTGAACCCCCTGCTACTCAGCTCTGATTCCCCAGGTGTCATCTTTTCTGGTCTTCAAACTTACTGTACCTCGCAATCTCTGAGACATAATTACACCCATCCCCAACTGGTTTAGTGGGGGCAGCACTAATTATGTTTCTGGGTCCCCCAGTCAGGGAAGCCAAGGCCCATGAAGGAAAAGTAATCAGGAAATGCCTACAGAAGCAGGAGAAAGCAAGTCACTGTGCTCTGTCAACCACAGGAGAGGAGAAGAGAGGGCAGGGCAGGAAGAGAAGCTAAGAAAAGCAGACACCAGTGAGAATGACAACAGCCTTCATGGAAGGGAAAGGGGTAGGTAGAAGTGGGCTCAGATTCCGCTGATAACGAATGGGCCTCTGTGAACGTCAGGCCAGCAGAAAAGGGGCACACACTGGAAGGTGTGTGTCCTCGGAGGACAGTACTGGCCCTGGCATAAATGAGCATGAAGGAGCCCCAAGGAATTTCTGCTGAGACTATGCTTCCTCCTTCAAGGAGCAAATAGCCTATGTGTGGGAATAGCAGTCACAGTCTCTGATACTGATTTAGGGCGAGTGACCAGGGCGATCTCACACAGCCCAAGTCCTCAGCCCCAACCACAGTCAGGGCCACTCTGACAACTCACTCAACAAGATCAAAAATGTACATATTCTTCTCTGAACTTCAATGTCCAGGAATCAAAGAAACCAACTTCAGCCTCCCCATCCCCGACAGCCACAAAACGGTTTATTCAAGAGTCAAAAAGAAGCTCACTGCACAGCTGACGGATCCCTAGCTTCTCATCTCCATCACCAGGAGACCCCTTGGTCCTCAGGGAAACAGAGAATAAGCCTTTTCTACTCTCTAACCCTCTTCAGGCTCTCGGAGGCACCTCCAGGAACCTGCTCACATCCCTCTCTTCATTGTCAACAGATGAACTGGCATATCCTGGAGTGTGGAAGCCCAACCTTCCTTGTCATTGAAATTTGGCAAAGCAGACTCTAGAGGAGAGTTGCCAGGACCTCTGGCCCTCCCCATTTTCTGAACTAGATTGTTCTAAACTTACCTATTCAGCACACACTCACTCCTTCCCACCTCAGCCCTGACCTGATGGAGTCTAACTTGAATTTGCCATAACCTTTAGACTATGTCCTTATCCACTGAACTGCACTTGACAGAGAAGAGAGAGAAACTGTAAAAGCTTTTCCTATCTCTCCAAAGCCCAGTGTGGACCCGCCCCCCTCCCCCCCCCCCCACACACACAATATATATATATATAAAACCAGGTCTCCACAGTGAAATTCTACACCTTCGTGCACTGTCAGGGTGTCTACCTGTAGGTCTAGAACTAAACACCTTGTTGCTTGGCTAGCATAACAACAGAACCCTTTGGCAGTCCTGTCTTCAGAGAACCCACGAGAAGCCACTAGAAAAACTACCGGTGAATCCACTGGAAAAATACAAAAAAAAATGCATGTATGTTTGAACTACTTTATGGGCTTTTATTCAAAGTAATGCCTATAGAGAGAAGAGGTTACAGTTTTAGGGGGCAGTGAGCTTCTAATAGAGACAACCTGCTGGGACTTTCAGAAGGGAATCAGAGATTATTTAAATAATTATTTTAAAAGGCACAATTTAGGGTATTGGGTTTTTTCCGTCTCTCTGAGACATTTCACTTTAATTTTTGTAACTCTTTATTTGTGTGAAAGGGTTATTTTTACTTGGCTTTGCTGTGTAAGGCAATTGGAGGGATTGGGTGAAAGAAGCCCCTAAAACCCCTCAAGTCCCCTTGGCCAAGAGCTCCTCAGGGCTTTTATGTCAGGGGCTCTGAATGAAAAGGAGGATCCGTTTCCCTCATGCACAGCTCCAAGTGGATCTAAGTCAGTTTCCAGGTATCTCAGGCTGATCATCCAACACCTTTCAGTTCCATGGTTCTGCCTGTGTATGTTCGGTCCATCTACCCACTCACTGTCTCAGGAAACCGGGGCCTCTGCTAAGGTGTATTTGGTCCTTGAGAAGGTGGCACTTTGAAGGGAACACTGTCACTCACACTGTTACCATTGTTTACAACCCAGAAAACTGCATTGGTGCTGACTCTGGACACGGGGTGCAAAGGGATCATAACTGGGTCCCAGGCTTCTTGAACAGCCTCTGAAACTTGTTTTCTCCCATGGGGTCTGTGAGTCCCAATGTGTCAGAATAAAGAGGAAAGGTAGGGGAAGGACAGGCAGACTACTGCCCACCCAGCCTCCACACCCATGACTTTGAGGCTGTTGAGAGAATTTATTCCATAGTGATTACTTGATCTCATGTTGTGTCCTAAGGCCCCTCGGAGAGGGGAGTAGGGAGTTCTCTATAGCCAGGTACCTCTTTCAAGGTTTTCTAACCCTGACCAAGACTATATATATTTTTCTTCATCTGTGCTGTTCTGTGTTATTTAATTTTGCCTGGCTAAGGCCACTTCTGAATAATTTGTAAAATTTGTTCTATATTTATAATAAAAATTATGTATCAGACATCCAAAAAATAAAAATAAAATAAATCTGTATTATAATAATTTCTGCATAAATTACATTCCACCAGGAGCAATCATTCTGAATTAACCCTTTTCTTATCTGAGTTACATTTAAGATGATATTTAGCTCAAATATATTTCTTCAAATAATTCTGTCAAGTTGTTCCCCTAAATAATTCTCATAGTTATTCAGGATTGAGTCACTTTGGAATAGGATTGAGTAATTATGAATTTAAGTTGATCTACCTCTTTTTTTTTAAAAATATATTTTAATTGAGTTTTTAGAGAGAGAGGGAAAGAGAGAAAGAGAAAAACATGGACGAGGGAGAGAAATATCAGCCAGGTGCCTTTCACATGCCACCTATGTGGATCAAGCTTGCAACCTGGCCATGTGCCCTGAGGGGGAATCAAACCAGAACCTCTCAGTCTATGGGCTGACACTCAATCCACTGAGCCACACAAGCTGGGCTACTTTTGAGTCTAGCAATTCCTGCAATTTAATATTAGTAATGTGTCTGTTCAGTAGCAGTATAATGTTAAATTGCTCTTTAGGCAATTTCACATAATATAACCCACCTATAGATTCAAATTAATTAATTCTTCTACTCAGAGCTGTGGTTTCTACATGTGGTTTTATTTGAAAGTCGAACAACAACAACCAAACCAGACTGCACACAAATATTCTCTCCTTCCTATAAACATACTACGGATACCTCATGAAAGTTTTTTGAAGTCACCGTAACCAGCAGCAAGAGTAGTTACTGAGGAAATTAAACAAACAAACAAAAAAATCTTATCCATAGTGACAATAAGAAATAATGTGTGGACCACATTCTCTGAGGACAGAAAAGACCCACACCATTTAGAAGGCATCTGTGGGACCAATAGTATCCTTGTATGTTTATTTAATAGCCTATTTTAAAGAAAAAACACTATAATTTTGAATCAGATCAAGGAAACTTGAGTCATACTGAATCTCTCTTTCACTAAATATGTGACTTAAGACAGTTGCAAACATCCACTTCCTCTCAAAAAAAAAACTAAAAAGAGTAAGAATTATTCACAGTTTGATATTGCCATTGAGTTTATTTATGTGACAGTGTGAGTAGGACGTGAATCACTATGCAAATGTTAGGTTCTGTTCTTATAGTGTGTGATGCCTTTGGGTTCATACATGATGACAAAATTTTCTTTATTCCCAGCACAGATCACCATCTGTGTTGAATGATTGGTTAAAAGTAAACAACTGCGTTTCATTTTCTAAACTTTTCTTATAAGTACATGAATTTATATCTTTACAAATCTTACAATATAAAGAGAATTATTTTTTATGTAAATTGTGGATTTAAATTTAACATGAGAAAATTCCAGATGGTTCCGCTGAGAAATATATATATATAATTATTTTATTATATATATGTATATAATTATTTTTATTATATATATGTATATATATTATATATATTTTTTTTTTCCAGAAAATTCAGGTCAGGTTTTTCCTCAAAATAAATGTGGATATGGTCCTACATTCCTACAAAGCTAATTACCAAAATTATCCTTTCAAAGATTTCTGGATTCTGGAATTGATGATAAGGGTTTGTGGATCTATATACAATTTATAAACCTGTACATAACTAGTCATTTGACCTGCTAATTTTGTCCAAATGTGAGATTGGGGCCCAACTCTGAATGACTGAGAGTTCCAGAAGTAAAAAATTAGTTACCTCCAGTGTTTTCCAAGTTTTCTCATAGATTGATCCAGTGGACTCACATAAATCCCTGAAACCAACAATTAGAGAATACACATCCATGACAAACCCACATAGAGAGTTAACTTTAAAGTAACCACATATTGGATGCATCAGGGATTTGAAGCAGCCTTCAAACAGTTGCTTCAGGAGGAGTCTTAGTAGTAATGAACAGCCCTGTTTGGGTGGCAGTTGTACAAATCTCCACGTCATAAAGTGACAAAAAGCTCCACACCCACACATGGGTGTATGTAAAATTGGAAAAATCTGAACAAGGCTTTTCGATCGCATTAATGGCAATCTCCTGTTTTTGCCGTTGTACTACAGGTCAGTAAGATGTAACCACTGCGGAAGCTGGGACAAGAATATTCAAGAGCTCCCTGTACTATTACTGCAACCGCCTGGGAATTCTAGATATTTCGAAGTTAAAGGCTTAAAAAAACAAACAAACAAACAAACAAACAAAAACCAGCCCTGGTTGGTGAGGAGCTAGGTGGTTAGAGCATTGACCTGCTGACTAAAGGGTCTTGGGTTCGATTTCTAGTTGAGGTCACATACCTGCGTTGCAGGTTTGATCCCTGGCCCTGTTCAGGGCACGTGTGCAAGGCAATCAATTATTGTGTGTCTCTCACATTGACGTTTCTCTCTCTCTTTCTCTCCCCCTTCCTCCTTTACACTTTCTCTATAACCAGTGGAAAGAATATCCTTGAGTGAGGACTTACAAAACAACAAATGTTTCAAAAGCAGTGGCTTAAACTAGCACAGGGTTCTTCTCCTCACAAAACGATGCTCAAAAGTAAACCCGCAGGTGTGGCGTGTCTGACTCAGTGCTCTCCTGCCGGCCTAAGCTCCTGGACCTTTCTCCAGCAGGTGGCTGTGACCCTCGTGGCTACAGGGAGGATCCTGCAGCCCAGGCAGGGTTGGGATTCCAGGTGGGTACAAATGCAAGGGTGGGGGAGATAGCAATAGGCAGAGGATGAGGAGTACATGTTGGTCATCTCTGTCCCCAGAAACTTCTCTTGACCTCTCATGTCCATGACTGTGGAGCATGGCAGTTAGTGGATGCAAGTACAGGTAGGAGACTGCGTGTTTGTTTATTGTTGTGTGTTTCTGCTTTTCTTCCACTCAGAGCACATCCCTGCCCTGAACAACAGGGTTTCCTCTGTGGGGTGCCCACCACCCACAGTCAGCTGGTGCAAAACGGCAGGAGTCAAAACATTAGCACATATTCTGACATGGGTGAAAATGAAATAGAAAGTAAGAAATTGTGCAGTCAAATTACATACTTAATGGTATGGAGAAGGCTGTAGTGTCCATTGTTCTCATTGTAGTCCAAGAAAAGAAGTGAGTATACAGGGATCAGTATAAACACCATAGTTCAGGTCAACTAAAAGGGCAAGATGGCTAGAAGAGTTTTCCCCATTGTTTATACGTGTGAAAGGAGAACAAGAACTCTAGGAACAGTCAATATTTGTAAATGCACAAGGGCTAGTGTTAGAACTCACCAGAGAGACCTATCAAT